TGAAAACCTGAAAAAGGCTCCTAGGCAAAATGAGAGATAAGAGAGAAATTTGTGTTTTGCAGGACACCACCTCTTGGAGAAGAGGAGGAGAAGAGAAAGAGAAGAGGAAGAGAAGAGAAGAGGAAAAGAAGAAGAAATAAAGGGCATAGAGGACTAACAAACCCAAGAGAATTGTTATTTTATGAACTAATTTACAACCTTGGTGGTCTTGTGCTCTTTCTTACTATTCTTCAAACTTATGATCTTTGATTGAACATTGTGTAAACATTTGGTTTTACTCGAGGTCGAGTGAAGAAACTAAGTGTGGGGGAGTTGACATTCATGTTATTTCCATGTTTATATTTGTGCTTTTGATTAGTTTTGAGTGATTATTACTCTAGAAATTACACACTTTTGGTGTAATAGTTTAGTTTGTAAAATGTTTGTAAATTGTTTAGATTAGATTTGTTCTGAGCTCAAACAGGTCCAAGACCACTCTAGGGACCATTGGTGAACATCACAAGTGGAAGGAAGGTGCAAAAATTCCAAAACAAAATGAAGATCCTGATTTTTGGTGTTGTACCCGGTCGAGTATACCCTATACTCGATCGGGTAAGTTGCTAAAAAGTCAAATTAAATCAACCCGGGAACAAGGCAACATGCAGGAAGATTTTTAACTCGATCGCGTATCCATACCCGATCGGGTAGCCGACATACCCGATCGGGTATGATCCCAGATTTTCAGTTTCGAGGAAACTAACCCTTACCCGATCGGTTGAGCTGAAAACCCGATCGGGTACACGACCCTGCAGGCCTAAAAAGCCTATAAATACACCCCATTTCCTCCACAAGAAAATCACCAATTCACATATACTTCTAAGCTCAGTTTAGACAAGTTCTTTCTTTATATTTTTATCATGTTTAGTCTCCAAATGAGGAGCTAAACTCTTCCATCTTAGTTTTGCTACTTTGAAGCTTAATGAATTGTAAGTTGTGAGTTATTTTCTTTAATCTTCTTCCTTGAATATTAATTAATTCTTATTCCTATTACATATTAATATTTTGAGCAATACTTAAAGGATCAACTAGTTTTGTTCATATATTAATTAATACTAGAATCGGTCGATTAATACGCTTGTTATTAACTCGGTCCTTTCACGGTAGTAAACTTGGGTTGTTAATGCATGCGTCTCATGGTTAATAAACCAAGGGGAATTAATTATATTGATTAAACTAATAAACCGCTTGTGTTAAGGTTATCAATCTCAATCGTTTTCATCTTGATTTTATTGCTACTATCGAGTAAATATACGGCGCGTGTTCTATATTTACTCGGTAGTAAGTTTTATTAATGAACGCGTCTCGTTATTAATAACTACCCTCGATGAACGGGATATACTCCTCGATTGAGTATTCGAGAGGAAGATAGTTAAAGATATAACCGGGATCGACGAACATTTCATTAAGTGGATAAAAGCAAAGCCAAATCTTCTTCTCATTAATTAAATCACACAACTCGTTCATCTTCGTGTTTAAATATAATTTAAAGTTCTTCAACCAAATATAAACCCCCCTTATTGTTACTTATTTATTCTTGTAAGAAGAAAAGAATTCCTTTCCCTGTGGATACGAACCTTACTTCACTATACTACGTATTTGTGTTGTATTGTATTATTACTTTGAGTGCACCTCACGACAAAGTGCACGTCACCCCTCGTGGCCGCATCCCACCCTGACGACTCTTTCAGTAGTAGAAGAAGCAAAGCCCCCTGCAGCTTCAGTTATTGTACGCCAGGTAATCTAATACCCTATACCTTCGGTCGACTCCCAAGCCCAGCGAATTGAATGCCCAGAAAGTCATGGTATGCTAGATTAATCTTTAGACATAGTTCAATTTTTATGCGCCAGAAACTCATGGTATGCTATATTAATCTTTAGACATAGTTCAATTTGAGTTAATCTTAATTAATATCTATATATGTTGACGTAATAAAATGGTTAATTAATTGCATGTAGGTTCCCTGGTATTGGTATCTTCTCTTAGGCTTTGTTGATGTCCAAGGAAACTATCTTGGTAAGGCCATATATACCTGGTAGTTTGTTTAAAAAGTTACTAACTTTAGTATAATAGTATGGAATAATCCATAAATGAAATCTTTAGCTTTATGAGAGCCACACTTTCCCTTTCCCTGCCATGGCCTACACCCCATAATATTAGTTTACTTAATTTTTTGAAGTGTTTTTGGATATTAATTGAGTTTTAAGCTTAACTTGCAGGTGAGAAGGCTTACCAATACCTGTCAATTACAAGTGTGACAATACTAGACTGTTGGACAATCCGTTGGGTGATATTGCTGACATGGATCTTCCTCGAAACCCAATACTCCATATGGCAGTTCTTCAGTTCCGTTGTCTGTGTTTCCGTGCTAGTCCTAGTCCTCCTATATGATTCTGGGGTGAGCAGTGGAGGTGATCTTTCATAGTCCCATATTCCTACTTTCATATTACTGAGCTGGATTTTAAACGTTTAGTACTGTCCAAGCGTTTAGCACTGTCAAATTTTGAAATGAGAGGGTACTGAACCCATTCCAAAAATGAAAAATCTAGAAACTCTTTACAGATGAGTTTGAAACAACAAAAGTGAAAAGCAAAGAAGGAAAATATAAGAGATAAGTTTAAGACAAAAACATAACCATGTAATGCAAAACATCAAATTTGTGCATGTTATATTGACAATTGAAATCTACTTTTTCAATTGACCAGAGCATGCCTCTGCTGCATTTTATTCTCTTTTCAGTAAGTACTCTCTCAGCTCTCTCATCTTCTGCTTTACCCTTTCTGCTACACTCTTCTCCCAAAATATTCAAAACATAAATAAATGACTAGTTTTTATTTCTACTTATGCTGTCATCAACCTATCCCAGAATTCTTTGTGCTACCAGTGGGAACTGCATTGAGACTTTTTTCCCAGTTCATGATGATGAATGATGAGTCTGATGACGGTTTTAAATACTCTGTAGATGTGCTATCCATTTAGTGTTGATAGTTATATTGTTCTTATAAATTTTGTAATATTATAATAATCATTGTTTGAATACTTCTTTATTAATCATTATCTCTATGAGCTATTTATATATAAGTCATATAAATTTTGCAGACATGAGATTAATGAGATGTTTGACAGACTAACTGGTCCTTGGAATTGACAAGGTATGGTAAACGGTTTGAACTATGTGACAGACTGACTGGTCCTTACAATCGTATACTACGTACATTGTTTTACTTAAAGAAGATGCTGCATATAAAATATAGCTCTTAAAATATCTCTGGCGCAGCATATAATTCAAGTTAAAACTGAATGCTTTTACAAATTGTGTGACTTAAGTAACTCAAATGTAGGTGCATCATCTAAATGTTGTATTTTCTTTTGCATCTAAATACAGACAGATAAATCTACTTTCTATTTTACCGTTTCAATAACACAAATTGCTATGCTTGAACTTTTTTGCCTATATCCTCTATTGTTGTGAGGTCATCTCCTAACACCCGCTACTATTGTTATATGGATATAAATTGATAACATCATCTCTAATTCATCATAGCTTTCACCATTTGCATTAGGGAAAGTGATCGTGTAGATTTATATGTTCCCATAATGAAAATTGATTATTTTACAACTCCCTTTCACAGGTCAATGAAGTCAGCGCTGTTGAACTGCCAAGAAGTATGTGAAAGATATTCAGTCATTAGAGTGGCTTCTGGTTATGGGTTTCCTGGTGGGGAGTAGCATTGATGTGATAAACATTAATTCACAGTTAACCTTGTTAGTGTAATTTCACAGTGACCCTCAATCAATTTAAATCAATTTATTGGTCAAGTTGAGTCAAATCTGTCCTGGGAGTCTGACCCAACTGAACTGGGATTTTAAGAAGACCACCTGAAAGTTTAGGTAATACTCTAACATGCTGGAAGTGAAGGTTTTAGCTGGTGAAAACTTAACATCAGATGGCCTAAGGAAGTAATAATCTCTCAGAGAAGGATATATTATGCCATGTAATCTCTAAGCCCTGCCATAAGTACAATAATCTACAGGATGAGCCTAGACAACTAGGATTTTGAATTTGACAGTGGTGTGGTTAATACTATTATAGACTTGAATGTTATCAATTTTATACTGGGAGATTAAATGTCATAGTACTGAGATTATAATTCTATCATTAATATGGTGTATCGGTCATTTTTCAGTGTTGATGAATGCGGCTGCTATGAAGACTTGATGATGTGAAGTTGGGCGATATGTACTTACGAATTGTTATTGATGTTGTCCTATTAACTTTGCTATATGTATGTACCACGTATAGGCATCTCACTTTTTGGACTAAACTATGTAGTTGCTTAAAATTCTATTAATCAACGGTTGCTTAGTGATAAAGTGATCACTTTGGTGTTGGATCTTGTTGGATTTTTTTGTCATGTTTTGTCCATCAGAGTAAATCTGGTTTTGCATACCTAGAATACAAAGTTCAACAACAATGTAGCCTGGAGTTTGAAATGAATATTATGCTTTAAACGTTTAATTGACGTTTTGAGATTTATTGACTTTATTATCGTTGATGAGATTAGTTAATATTGAATTCAAAATTTTTAAAATTTATAATTGAAATGGATTTTCTAAATTATAATTGGTTTGGAATGCGGAAACAGTGCAAAATAAAGTGATACCAAAGTGTCACTAAAGTTTCGTGTTGCTTGAATAGAAAATAGAATTATGTGATACCGTGGTGTCACTAGAATATGTGATGTAAAAGCGTCGCCGAATAGTTATGTCATCTAGGTATCACTAATTGGTGATACCATAGTGTCACAATTTTGTGACACTTGTAGTGACACTTAAAAAGTGTCACTAATTCCCACTTTCATTGACCCTTTTTTAGTGTCACAGAAACTTTCAGTGACACTAATTTGGTGTCACTGTAAGACATTTTACTAGTATACAATAAGAATACATTTTTTTAGAAGAAGGGGGCTTAAATTGATATCAAGGCATTAGCATTTAGAAAGGGAGTAAAAAGAGTAAAGAGCCACATCCAACCGTCAGCCCGCGAACCAGACTTGGAGTTAATCAGCTTCAAACAAGCAATATAACTCGCTGATCCATTAATGGGCAAACCTGAGCCATAGACGATTGAAACAGACCCAAACTCACCCGATCCTAATGCAAGAGTCTTACCATTGAAAGAAAAACAACAGAAAAAACGTAGTCTGATCAACAACAACCAAAATAAAATAGCAATAAAATAATTATTCTTCTCCAAAGCCAGGAGCATCTCCACCGACGCCTCCTTTGATCTTCTCCGACACCCAACATAGATCGGCGGACCTACAGGAGGTCTGCCACCGCTCCGTTTTTTTGTCCGTCAAGTGCCATGCCTTCCTCTGTGATAGCATCCTGTCTCCCTTCCTCCCAGGTTCTTCTTTGCTTAGGCTCCCCCGAAGTCTCCTCTGGACTAACTGAGTTCCCTTCCTTGATAGAGCTATTTCTAGTGTCTGTAGTCTCCTTCCAATCTTGCCTCTCTGCATCCTGTCCATCAGACATCCCCACCCCAGTATTGGAGGACCCCTCAATAGACCACTTTTTACCCCCTGTGGGACTAGTCTTTACCCCGGTCCCAGCCCTAAGACCCACTCCATAGTTTTTATCAAAAGTGATATTTCCCCCCTTATATACTTCCGGGTAGAACTTATCCGAATGCCCAATAATACCACAAACAAAACAGAAGTTTGGGAGTTTTTCATATTTGAAGTCGACCCATTGGCTAAAACCCACCTTTCTTTACATAGTACTTTTTTTCAAGGGTCTCCTAATATCCATACAAACTCTAATTCTCAGATATGTCTTAAAATTTTCATCAAATTTCCTATCATCAAAACTAATGAATTTTCCAATGTAATCGCCAATCCGTCTAGCAGATCCCAGATTCATAAAACCATAAGTAGGATTGTGCACTTGCACCCAAAAATCAGCCTCATAAAGTTTAATTTGTAAAGGAATATCTTCTGCCTAAATCTCTTTTAGCAATAATAAATTTCGTTCGAACAACCATGGACCTTCATCCAGAACACGCCTCATATTTAATACTACCTCTGTCCCTTTTATATTGGGACGGAAGAGAGTGACACGAGTTTTAAGAAAAGTGGGTGTGTGGTTGATATTAATTGATATGATGAAGTAAGAATAAAGTAAGAATGATTTTGAGCCACAAAAATTTTACCAAATAAGGTATGAGACAATTAAATAGGGACATACCAATATGGTAAAACGGGACATTAAAAAGGGGACGGAGGGAGTATATGACAAAAAGTAAAGATATACCTTTTGTCGCCAATTTTCTGAATTGAAACACCTTTCACATGTCTCCACAACGAGGCCATCAATTCTTTGAAAATTTGAAATTTTATTTTTCGATCAGTCAGAATTACTCCAACCACAGGAAAATCAGCCGTACCTTTGTGCGAAACCTCTCCTTCATCTTCTTCATCGAAGAACACCTCTTCCTTGTCATCCCCAATAACCATATGTTTGTATTGGTGAACCACGTCATCCATTGATTCATCAAAGTTGCTGCTTCGAAACTGGCAGCCACCACACGAGGGCCGTATCCCCGCTCGAAACGAAAACAAAGCTCAAAAAAAGAAGGCCGCACCTCAGAAGTATCTGAGAGCGGAAGTCGGAGAACCCTAGCGGCCAAGCCCTAGGGAGATTTTTTTTCATTCTTAATCATTGCTAATTTACAATAAGAATACAATTAATAAGGCCCATATGGGTTTAATAGAATATGTGAATTTTATTTATTAAAAATGAATTGAGTGTGAACAAGAATCAAGTTGCTTTATCGTCACTCATCTTAAACCAAACATCTTAAACCAAAATGTTTCTTGGGAGGGAGGGAGCAATAGAAAAGGAGAAGTAAACAATACACATAGTACGTACTTTTGATTCGGGTCTAAAGTGGCTTAGAGCATGGGAAAGGAAGATGCCGTATATATAGCATGTAACTTACGTACATACCTTAGCTTTCCCCCCAAATGCAGCCAAGCACCCAATTCTACTTAATTATCTCCATAGCTAGATCTCTTCCTTAATCATCATCGTCCCATACAACACCCACCCGCGTATATCCAGCTAATTCATCTAACTCAACTCTCCGGCGACCTCAGAGAATCATATCCGGCCAGCTAGCTCGATCGGGCGCATAAAAGAATGAAAAAAACACCAGCAGCGTTGGGGGGTCCCGGCCGGCAGCACCAACTGCGGCAGACGAACCCAATGGTATGGTGCTTGGCCATAGTGTGCGCCATCGTGACCATCCTGGTGATCCTCGCCGGCATGGCGGTGTTCATCGGGTACATGGTGGCGCGGCCGAAGGTGCCGCAGATGAGCGTCAGCAGCGCCCGCATCGACAACATCTACTACGACATGGTGAGCATACTCACCGTCAGGATCATCGTCGTGTTGAAGGCGGAGAACGACAACGACAAGGCCAGCGCGTACTTCTACCATACCCAGTACGCGCTGACCTTCTACGGCGTCAAGGTGGCATACCTTAGCGCCGCCCCGTTCATGGTTCCGAGGAACCAGACGTATGAGATGCAGTACGTGGTGGAGTCGTCGCCGATACCGTTGACGCCGGAGGAAGCGGGGAGGGTGGGGGAGGGGCTCAAGGACAGGGCGTTGAAGTTTGAGCTGAAGGGGGACACGAAGACGCGGTGGAAGGTTTGGTTGGTGGGGTCGGTTAAGTTCTGGCTCCACCTTGATTGCGTTTTCAAACTCCCCATTAATAAAACCACAGTTTACCCCAAATGCAGCACCAAATCTAGGTCTAGGTAGCTCAATTAACAAGCAAGCTAGCTAGCTTCATTTCAATTCATTTCATTTACACATTGATGTCTATTTTCTGTATATTTTTGGTAATTTTTAGTGCACACATACACAAATACATATCCATAATCAATTAAAAATTGCATAATTAATAAAAGATCAATGAAATGTGTACTCCGTATTGTTTTTCTGTATATATGGTGGTACCATCTTTTACATTAGGAGCCCGAAAGATTATTTATCACAATCTCTTTAATTTGTCTCATCATTTCATATCTGATCTCTTAATAACGAGGCCGCCACATTCTTCTTTAGTCATGTGGTAATTAGTCTTAAAAGGGAGAGGGGCAATATGTACTACGTGGGGTTAGGAGAATCATCGAGAACATTGCTTAATGTGAGAATACAAAAACGTGGGGTTAGAGGAATTATCAATTGAGAACATAGCTTAACGTGAGAATAGAGAACATCACTTTTAACTATACGAAGGAATGAGCTACAATACGTGGGGGGAGAGGAGCAAATAAGCTCATTTCATATTTACATGTATGTAAACTTATACTACATATATATCAGATCAAATCAAAATATTACTTAACATGAGAACATGATGAGAGCGTCACTTTTAACTCAATGTGACGCACAATAATGTTTGTACCTTTCATTTGCACTTTTTAAATATTTTAGAAATTGTCACCACATTATTTGTGTTAAAAGCTCACGTTATCACATTAAATATTATTCTCTATGAACAATATGTTAAAATTCTTTTACGGATCGAGACCTCATCTAGCCGCTTGTGCTCGGCCATTCTCAGTAGATGAAAAATAAGGGCATGGTTTGAAGTGTAACTAGGTTCTTGGGCCAATTCCAAAGGCAATGATCATAGTTGCTTTTCACCGTTAGCCCATCGGGTTTGTATTGCATAGATGCAGATTGGGTGTTATCAATGGACGATAATGCCTCAGCCCAAACGGATAACGAACATACAATGTCATTTAAGATTCGAGGACGATAGAGTTGGTATGGGATGTTAACTTTATCTAGTTAAATACGGAGTATTACGGAGTACTCCCTCCGTCCCATTAAATAGTTCTCGCATTAACTTGGATCGCAGTTTAAGAAAATAGAAATAAATTGGAAATACATGATTATTTAAACTTGGATTTTCGGATGAAAAAGCTGTCTTGATAATCTGTTTTACCAAACATCTATTTTGGCTGGTCAATTAGTCAAACCAGCTAAATATGGTCAAACCAGCTAAAAAGTGGCTAATAAGTCATTTCCCAAACAGGCCCAATACTGTCACATTGATGCCATATAAATCCAAAATATTGCAATAAAATTTCATCAATAAACTACTTATGTTTAAATAATAAAAAAAGTCATAGCAACTCTGATTTTCAAATTTACGTTATTTTCACCAAATCAAAAATCACTATAACAAACCGTTGTGCTAAATTGAGTCGGAATTCTAATTCATTTCATAGAAGCAGGCATTATTAGGGATGATTAATTTGTTGTGCGGAATTGTAATTTCACGTTTCGTGAAATTGTAATATTTTACGCATTTTTATATTAAAGGGATTAATTTATTGACTTTATGAAATTTTCAGTGCAATATTTTGGCATTATAAAACTTTAATAAGGCTGTGAGTGTTATATTTTGCAAAATTAAAACATAATGCTCATGTTTTACAATTTAAAATTGATTTTACAGCCTATTTACCCCTAATTAAAAGTAATTTTTTATACGTATCTATGATTGACTCAGCATAGAGTCACGTCTACCGCAAACCTGAACTAAAGCATGGGGCTACCCAAACTTTTTTTGCAGTCCCAATTCCCAGAGTTTTAAATACGTCACTTCTTCCAAAAACTACCAAATTTATGAACGGCTTGCCCCTTCCCCATACTTGAATTAAGGATAAAGCTCTTAAACACGTGTCACCTTCGACATGAGCGTGTCAAAATTATGCAACGCCACTTCGCTTGCCCCTCTCTTTAATTTCTCAATCTTCTCAATTCCCTTCCCTTTGACTCACCACACTACTCCCCTTACTTAATCTCCCTTCCCACAATTTGATATCTTCATTTGCTTCCAACTCCTCTCCCTGGCTAGGTAAAGCATTTCCCTCTCTTCCTCTTTATCTTTGGTGTATGTTTATTTCTTGTATATTGCATTATTAATGTTTTCACCATTGTTGTCTTTGTGGGTTTTGGGTTTTAATTTGCACTGCTATATGTTTTGATTCTTTGTTGTATGTAATTCGAAACACGGAAACTCTTTGGAAAGAGCACGTTTTCGAAACTTTCCAAACAGTCGTTTCCCGTTTCATGTTTCCCGAGACTCCGAGATGTCTCGTAGAATTCAACAAATTTTTTGCTCAAGTTTTTACTTTATTTCCCGAAACAGAAACGATTGTTTTCGGTTAGCGTTTTTTTGAAATCACAAAAATTGAAACTTAGATTGCTATCCAGCTGAGGATTGGCAAGGGCGGGTTATAGTAGGTACCCGACGGGCCTAAACCCGGCCGATTGTGATGGACTTGGATAGATCATAGATACTAGTCACAAATTAGGCATGGCTGAATCGGAGATGAGGTTTGACCGAGAGGGTCACGAGTAACTGAGATGGGTGAATTAAGATGTTCTGTTTTACTTGTATGTATGCAGGTGGGAAGGTGCGAATTAAAGTTACAGTTGGTGAATGGTAATTAATTGGGGGTAATTAAAAGTAGTAGAAGATGGATTGGTTAATAGAGTTGATGACAAGTGCGTTGTTGTTGCTATTAAAGCCGCTTCCGCTGATCACTCTGTGCGTGAAAAGCTGTGGCATTGTCGTCCTGACGTGCATCGAGCTTCTCAGAAACGCTATCTCCCTCCACCTTAGCATCTTTTGGAGTGTCATTACTTTGGCCTTTGCTACTTTTACCCTTCCTATGCGTTTGTTAAACGCTCTTCAAAATGAAAAAACGGTGAGACCACTTTTATCTTGGGAAAAATCCTAGAAGAAAAACATGTGAAAATTCCAAAATAACATTGTTGTTTTTGTTCCCTAAATAAGAGCAATTACTGAAAAATTGTTTGTTTAAAGTCTGGTACTGTCAAAACAAGATAAAGACAGTAGTAATTACTCTTATTCAAAATGTGGAAGTTTTGTTTTGGAATAAACAAAAATGGCATTGTGGATGCAGCTTGAAATGCAATTGCAAGAAATGCAGATAGAGTTGGAGAGAGTGGACTGGGAAAGAAGGAGATTGGAGAAACAACTAAGTGTGGCCATCAATGAACACAAGATGATGGCCTTGATGTTAAGGGAATTGGAGGATGAACTGGATCAGGCTTTTCTCAAGATCGATCAGCTGGAGGAGGAGGTATATATTCTGAACTCTACTTCTTGTAGTAGTTGGATTACATTGCTAATAAAATATCCACTTTTTGTCCTAACTAATAAACAGATCATCATGCTACACAACTATGACCTTCCTGTCATTTTAGGTAGTTCTATTTGCTTATTCAAAATGGCTAAATAGTGAATATGGAGAATTACACAACATGACTACCTGACCGATTTTTTGAAAACACAAAAAGAATGCGCCTTCAACACGCACCTTACCAATCCGGTGACATCGCCCTCGACAGCGGGTGATAATGCTCCTTAGTGTATGTGCTACTACTCTACTAGCCTAGTACTAGCAATCTGGTGGATCGTTTTATAAAAAAGAATTTTGTCGAATGGTTCTTTTTGTAGAATTGGATCTTATTATGGAGTAATTTTTTTTGTCAAATGGTTCTTTTTGTAGAATTCCTTAACTCGTTCTCTTTAGTTTGGTGACCTAAACAAATAAGATCAGATTTGGCATGGAACTTTTTTATTTGGTATTGGATTGATGGATTGAAGTCTTTTTAATGGGAGTTTGAGCTCTTAACTGTTCTATTCTTGGTGTCCAAATCTTTCACACATATTACGCAAAAAATGTAAAAACGACCTAATAAAGTGGATTTATTGCAGCTACGGTGTTACTCCCTCCGGTTCTTAACTAATTTTACATTTCCTTTTCGGGCAGTACCAAAATTAAGTTTCACTTTCAAACATTTCCTTGTTTGGCAAATTATTTACATCCAAACAGTATCAAACAGTGTCTAAACAATGTAAAACAGTGCACTCTACAGTAAAATCAAAACTCTACAGTAAAATCAAAACCGGGAGTATATTATTTGAATGATGACAACTCCGGTACCTTTTGAAATAATGAGGTACCGTACCTATTATTTATTTGATTGGACCACATCATTTTATCATTTTTAATTTAGATTTAAATAATTCAACTGTAACATTCTCATTGATACATGTGGACAAATGTACAGTACCTTATGGGTACGGTAGAATCTACCTATTTGAATAACTGAACCTTAAATTATTGTTTTTCATGCTCCGTATTAGCATCGGGATCTGAAGGGAGAAAACCAACAGCTGAAGGAGATTCGAGGGAAAGGACGTTGGAGTCAAGGGGAACATTTTCCCGCCAGTTCCAGCAAAAACATTACTTATAATAATACTAATAAAAATAATAATAATCATAATAATAACAACAATAATAAACTTGTCAAGCCTGAGGTAGGAGTGGGCCTAGACCCGGCCCAAGCCCAACAACACCAAAGAAGAAAAGCAGCCCTAGTGAAGAGTCTTTTCAGCGCGGGGTTATCCGTGGTGGTGGGGACAACGGTGTGGACCGCCGAAGAGCCGTGCGGGCCGCTCGTCGCCGCCCTTTTCGCGGTGGTGGCGATGTCATTGAGCAGCGTCGTGGGCTTCTTCTTCGCCATAAAAAACAACCCGGCTTCAGAGGCGGTGGCTCTCCTCTGCTTCAACTGGTTTATACTGGGAACGCTGACCTACCCGGCTCTGCCAAAGGTTGCTCTTTTCTTGTCTCCTTTGGGCCGGAAACTGTCCGGAGTGACAATGAAGTTCTTCTCCGGCAGTTATGTATGATGTTTTATTACTCATGTCCCTGCTCTTTTTTTTTTAAGAAATGAAAAAAATATAATAGTGTTACTTTTTCTTTTCTTTTTTAGAGTACTTTATGAAATGTATAAAAAAGAGGGAGGTTCTACGCTGAACCAAGTGACCTTGTTTATCTATTGCCAAATACGATGTAATTTTCTGATTCCCGTAAGAATCTTTTAATTTTGTGATTATTTTGAGTTGAACTGAAATTTTGTGATCTATTTTGATTTGATATGTGAAATATCTCATATACTATGCATGATCTATTTGTATTTTACAATTGTCGAAAGTCACGTGCAAGTTGCGAAGACAATATTTAAAAAGACTTCTATTTGTATTTTACCATTGTCGAATTTAAATGAAATTTGAATTCAATGTGTCCCTACTCCTGCTAGACTATTGCTCTGAAACTAAGAAATTGTTGGGATATATTATCCCGGCCTATTACTGTTCAGGAGCCCAAGACATTACTCTCTACGGAGCCCGAGCAGCTAGGCCCATTTCGGCCCATCCGGCCCACTTTAGCCATTTCGGCCCGCTTTGGCCCACGCAGCCCGTTAGGGTGGAGAGCATCCCCTCCCCCTATTCTCTATAAATATGGGAGCTTCCCTCCATATTATGGATGGCTTCCTTCATCCCTTTTTAGCTCTCCTTCCTCCTTTCTTTTAGACTTAGCTCAAATACCCCATGAATGGGAGCTTGTACAATGTAATGGTGAGGAGAGTCCTAATGAGAATTGAGAAGGCTTGGACATTAGCCTAAAAAGTCCCGTGGTTTTCTCCCTTTCGGGTTTCCACGTAAAAACTGAGTTGTTCATACACATTTGTACATATATTTACTATATCGTGTTGGATTAAACTCAACACTGGCGCCGTCTGTGGGAATCTGTCCAAAAAGATTCATGTGTTCTACACAAAAATGATATGGAAGTGGACTGATTTCAGCAAAAAAATGAAGAAAATGAAAACATCCTGGAAAAATGATTCTGAGAAGCTCTGGATCTAGGAAGGAAAATGTGATGCTGAAGGTTTTGGATTTCAACGAGGGAGAAGAAGAGGTGTTACGAAGATCTGGGCTTTTAGCAAAAAGAAAGAAACAAACGGTTCTGAGGAAGGAAGGAAGTATGAGAAGCTATTGAGTCTGGGAGCTCGGGTCCGGATTTTCCGGACTAGGATGGACTCGCCGGAAACTGCCAGAGCCGCCGGAGGTCTCGAACCAGTTCAGGACGCTTCGGCACAAGCAGCTGAAGACCGCCGGTCACCGCTCGTGGCTGGCTTGTCCACCTTGCCATCAACCGGAGCTTCCTGGGTTCTCGCCATTTACGGCGGTTTAGAGCTCCAGGGAACCAAGTGTGCAGACGAAGCTAAGCCTCCACGGACGCCTTCGATCTGCTGTGACACCATCACCGCCGTGAGTCAGCGGCCGACGTGTACTTGGCGTCGGCGGGGTGTTCCATCTGCCTCTCCACAGACGCTCTTCACTCGGCTGAGGGCGGACCACGTAGGAGGGGACCAAGTCTGAAAAAGGAGTTAGCAGATGAGTGGAGCACATGGTTTTATCTGAGTGGGTCAACCAGCTGCTAAGTACGTACTCCGTAGTTCGGCTGAACTGCTCCAAGAGATAAGTATCAAAATACTCCCTCTTTTACGTGTTGATTAAGTTTCAATAAATGTTATTGCTATTAATTATTATCACCATTATTTAATAGGGATAAAAATCTCCCGAAATTAAATAATGTCGAGTGATACTCTAGAGATAGCTAGCTTCGCCGTCATTTAAATTTAATGACTGGTTGTTATGGGCCTGCCGGCCCGCTCCTGATCGGCTTTAATTAGCGAACGGAGCATATCTGGATGGCCTTTGGTAGGATAATACTATTATTACCCGTACATCACTATTATTTATTAGGGATAAAAATGTCCCGAATTAAATGATGCGGAGTGAAGCTCTAGTGATAGTTAGTTCGGCCAACATTTTATTAAATGTTTAATTGTTTGTGGGGCCGTTGGCCCACTCTCGATCAGCTTTGATTAAGTGATCCGAGCGTCTCCAGAAGGGCGATGCCCCGACGACGCATTTTATTTTGAGGGTTGCACGTTAGTCCGCACGGCACTACGTGCCCGATCGATGATTGTACCCCAACACCATCTACGCCATTAGGCGCGAAGTGACTGTGCCAAACGCGACCTGTGGGGCCCGAGGGCACCGAAGCGCTCAACCCCGTTTTTTCAAGGGCAGTGCGACCAACTTGGGTCTGAGTTTGGAAACTCACAGACCGATGAATATCTCTATGTGACGTTCGGCGGGCTGCTAATTGGCCCCGCCGCGAGCTGTTACGTCCATTAAACCCGCACGATGAGCCGGGCCAAGGGTCACGATGACCCATAGGCCGGTAATCGTGGATGTTAAAGAGAAAGCCATGCAGATGGTTATGTGTGCATATTCATTGTCGGGCCGTGCGGCCCGTTACCATGCTTATTGCGCAGCTGAAATCACTCGACGCGCTCGAGCGAAATGATTAAAAGACGCTCGGCCCGAGTCTTGAGGACGTTCAGGGCCAGCTAAAGAGGATACCATCGCGGCTGAGGACCGTGAGACGAGCATCTCCACCCCAGAGACCGATGGCCTAGGAGAGAACACCTAGAGGCCGAGGGTCTAGAGTGGACTACCACGACGGAGGACCGTGAGACGATCATCCATCATTCAGAGCCGGTGGCCTACAGGAGACCACTACGGCCGAGGGTCGTGGGACCATCCTTACATCACGCCGACCTCTCGGCACGGCGTGCTTATCGTTTTGAAGACCGGCCTTGTCCCCACATTGCGCGGATGAGGACCGTTGCTTGATTTCAGATCGGTCTCCCGTTGCCGACATCATTATATCATGACAGGCCTCTTGGCTTGGCGTGCCTATCTTTTGAAGACCGGCCTCGTCCCCGCACTGCGCCGATGAGAGCCGTTGCTGGATTGCAGGTCGACCCTCATTGCCGACACTGCCACATCATGTTCGGCCTCTCATCGCCGACATCATTATATCACGACCGGCCTCTCGGCGCGGCGTGATTATCATCCTTTGAAGACCGGCCTCGTCCCCGCGCTGCGCGGACGTAGACCGTTGCTGGATTTCTTTCAGGTCGGCCTCTCATCGCCGACATCATTATATCACAACCGGCCTCTCGGACCGGCGTGATTATCATATTCGAAGACCGGCCTCGTCCCCGCCACCTCGCGGACGAGGACCGTTGCTTGACCATATCTTGATCGGCATCTCATTGCCGACATTATCATACCACGACCGGCCCCTCGGCTCGGCGTGTTCATATTTGAAGACCGGCCTCGTCCCCGCACTGCGCGGATAAGGACCGTTGCTTGTTTTCACAGATCGGCCTCTCATTGCCGATATCGTCATATCACGACCGGCCTCTCGGCATGGCGTGATTATCATATTTGAAGACCGACCTCGTCCCCGCCCTCGCGGACGAGGACCGTTGCCTGTTTTTCTCAGATCGGCCGCTCATTGCCGACACCATTATACCACGACCGGCCTCTCGGCCCGGCGTGCTTATCTTTTGAAGACCGGCCTCGTCCCCGCCCTCACGGACGAGGGCCGTTGCTTGATTTTCTCAGATCGGCCGCTCATTGCCGACACCATTATACCACGACCGGCCTCTCGGCTCGGCGTGCTTATCTCTTGAAGACCGGCCTCGTCCCCGCCACCTCGCGGACGAGGACCGTTGTTTGATTCTTTCAGGTCGGCCTCTCACTGCCGACACTATCATGTTATGTTCGGCCTCTCGGCACGACATATTTATCTTTTGAAGACCGGTTTCATCCCCGCGCTGCGTTGAATGAGAGCCGTTGCTCGGATATATCGGCCTGACCTGGACACTATTGTCGTCCCCATTATCAGGACCGACTGCTCAGCGACATTATGATCATTGTATATCGACTCCCAATGCCGACCCTCTTGAGTTTGCATGACGACCAGCTATTCTATCGCCTAGTGATTATATTCGTTCGCTATGCCACCACCATTATGTGTGACATCCCGTGATCCCTGCGAGTTTCTTGGATACCGAATGTCTTCTTCGATGCAGGAAGATCGGTAGGACCACGGACCAGGGACGGACAAAGAAGAGTTAGGGAATCTCGATGTAGATAAACCTGTTCCTCCTTGCGAGTTTCGCGGATACCGAACGTCTCTTCGAAGCAAGAGCGCCGGTAGGACCAAGAACCAAGGACGAACGAAGAATATAGATTGCCTCCCTCAAACAAAAAAAAAAAGATGGGGAGAAGAGGAGGGTAGCTCCTATGTGGAAGGGAATCTTGCCCGGGCGTGCCAGATCTTCTCCCACCGCCGAAGACGAACGCCTCTCGATGTAGAGGTTAATAGAGACGCGGAGGGGGCTAGACGAACCAAGGGAGCTTTGCCAAGATAAACCTGTTTATCCCACAATGACCATGGATCGATGGACGTGGGATAACAAAGCCGGGAACCCGTGAGGGTAAACCAGTTCGTCCCTGCGAGTTCCTTGGGTACCGAACGTCTTCTTCGAAGCAAGAGACGCCGGTAAGACTAAAAGGACCACGGACGAACGAAAAACGGGGGAATCTCGATGTAGATAAACCTGTTCCTCCTTGCGATGTCTGCGGATACCGAACGTCTCCTCGAAGTAGGGACGCCGGCAGGACCAAGGACCAAGGACGAACGAAGACTAAAAGACTCCAAAAAAAAAAAAAAAAAGAGATGCCAGAAGAGCACGGAGCAAAGAATGATTTTATCCCTCGGCGCTATTGACCGGGAAGTACAAACTGAAAAACATATGTAAAGAATAGTTACAAAACTTAAGTACGAAGAATGATGTGGCCGACGACGATCGGCTAACATCAGGCTTTCTTTTGCATTGGACGACGAATACCAGCTCCCCAGATCAGACAGAGGGACGACGCCCAGGTCCACCCTTCCTCCCAGGATGAAGTCCTGACAGACGATCGGCTTCTCATAGCCAGCCAAGACGGATCGCGCCTAGATTTCACGGTTCGACTCGCCCATTTCCCTCCAGGATGGCGACGACCGTCTTATGCAGCACGATCGGCTTCTCAGCGCCATCGTGTCTCGTTCACGTTCGGATCGCCCCATTCCCTTCCAGGATGGCGACGAACGTCTGATGCAGTGCGATTGGCCCCTCAGCGCCATCGTACTTGGCTTCACGGTTCGGCTCGCCCATTTCCCTCCAGGATGGTGACGACCGT